ATATTTTCCTTGATCCCTCTCTCCCTGCCCTTCACTGCCACTCAGCTACCAATCCTACCTTGTCTAACATGTCCATAAGTGACACCTGTAGCATGAGCTCTGCCACTGAGCCACACCTCCAGGCCCAGAGTAAGGCCCAGATCTGGCAAGCCCTGGATCAGTTTAATGTGTGCAGCATTTAGCACGGTTTACTGCACACATTACTGCAGTCACAAGATCTTTTCCAGGTTTTTCTCTCAACTCATCCTTTTTTGTGTGGGGGACAGATAATATCCTGGGATGGAACCCAGTGTGTGGCACCGAGCTGTACCCCAAGTCTGCCATCTGTTCTTTTAGTTGTTTCTGCACAAGTCTTCTGTTATATTTTAAGTAGAATGTCCCAAGACTGGGATAGCACCTTGTCCCCATTATGTCATCTCTTTCACAAATATATGTACTCATATGGACATTGTGAGGCACAACTCTTAATCCCAGCAGAGGAAGGCAGATCTCTTGATTTCAAGGCCAAACTTCAATTTAAAAAAGAAAAAAAAAAAAAAAAGGATGCCTTCATGGATCTTACTTTGGGATGAAACCATTGACTTCAAAATTAGACCTTCATTCCTACCTGACCACTGAGCCCTTGAAGACCCACATGTTAGATTTCTTCACCTGAATGTTTGATAAGTACTGCAACATGCTCAGAACAGAAACCCTGACACCATCTCAAACCTGAAGTGTCAGTAAACACTACCACCTCCCCAGCTTTTAGACCTAAAACTTAAATATAATCCTTGATTCCTTAAGTGAAGTTTGATAAGTACTGCAACATGCTCAGAACAGAAACACCACCACCTCCCCAGCTTTTAGACCTAAAACTTAAATATAATCCTTGATTCCTCTCTACCTGTCCTTCACTGCCACTCAGCTACCAATCCTACCTTGTCTAACATGTCCATAAGTGACACCTGTAGCATGAGCTCTGCCACTGAGCCACACCCGCAGGCCATTTCCTTACAGTCTATCTTCACATAGTTGTCTCGGTATCTCTTTAAAGTTACCATTGCATTTATTTGTTTATTGTGAACACCAGTGGATACCTTGGGGAACTCCATTTTCTCCTTCTACAATGTGTAATCCCCAGCAGGGGATCAAACTCAGGTTATTAGGTTCTGCCCACAGCAAGTGTTTAAGCCACTAAACACTTGCCTTGTATCTTTAAACCAAACCTATTAATATCATTACAGTTCTCTCAGGTGATTTAACACCCAAATCTCTTTACTCTGTTTTTTTTTTTTTTTTTTTTTTTTTTTTTTTTTTTTTTTTTTTAAGATTTTATTTAGTATACAGTCTTCTGCCTGATTGCCAGCAGAGGGCACCAGATGTTATTCAAGGTGGTTGTGAGCCACCATGTGGTTGCTGGGAATTGAACTCAGGACCTCTGGAAGAACAGTCAGTGCTCTTAGCCAGAGCCATCTCTCCAGCCCTCTTTCCTCTGTTCTTAACCTCTTAACTACTCTGTAGTCACTATCTGTCTCCCTCTGGTTTAGCCTAATGGAAGAACACCCTCGAATCTTGAGAATTTAAATGTCAGCTTAACTCCCACCTCCAAACATCCCATCAAGAATTATCCTCTTTAAAGTTTTTTCACTATAGGTCCTATATGGAACTGTTTTAGAGTATAGCTTTCCTTATTTGAAGGTAAGCTTCATGAAACCTAGAACTGTGCTTTTCTGAGGAGGAACTGGATTCCCTGGTACCTGGAATGCATTGGCTATGCATGTAGTGCATGAATGGCTGGCTGTGCATGTAATGCATGCCTATACCGAGGGAGGAAAAGAGCAAGTTTAACATGTAAAAACCGATCCCAAAGTACTTCTGCAGGAGAAAAATACACAGAGAAGAAACTGGGGGGTGTACCCAAATAGTTCACAACTCTTTTTGAAAAAGTAAAGATTTATTTTCTTTTTTATTTATGGGTATGTGTATGTGTATCCATGTGTATGTCTACATACATGTACATGGTGCCCACAGAAGCCATAAGAATGTCAGAGCCCTGAAGCTAGGATTATAATTGTGAGCCTCTAACATGGGTGCTGGGAACTGAACACTGATCCCCTGTAAGAGCAGCAAGTGCGGGCTGGAGAGATGTCTCAGAAGTTAAGAAAACTGGCTACTCTTCCAGAGGACCTGAGTTCAATTTTCCGCAACCACATGGTGGCTCACAACCTTCTATGATGACATCTAATACCCTCTTCTGGCCTGTAGGCATACATGAAGGCAGAACAAATAAATAAAGATCTAAAAAAAAGAAAGAAAAAAGAAAAACTATGGGAATGACTGTTAAAATTTTCCACTGCTAAAAGGCAGTTATGGAAAATTATGTAGTAAATATACAATACCCCAAAACAGATTTTTTTCTAAACTTTGTAAGAAGAAATTTTGTGAAAAATCTGTTAATATACTATCAGAGTTATTATGTTGTCAATAACCCAAGTTAGAGTAAAAAAAATTCACAAATTTTAAAGTTATTTTTTAAAATGAACTGAATTGTGCCTAGCAGAGAAATAGACAAGTGAAAATTTGTAATTGCATTACATTTTAAACATATCTGCTTGTTTTTTAGACTGCAGAGGAAAAATTTTTTCTATAAAACATTCTGAAGTATAACATAACGTCAAATTTTCATAAAATACAACTTGTGCAGAACATTCTAAGGTTTACCATAACTTTATTACAATTTAATATACATATTACACAAGATTAAAAATAAGAAATTTCATTTATTCTCCTGAGTCTCAAAAGCCCTGAAGTTTGCTGAAATAGAAAAATAAAGTTAAGCATTATTATTCATTTCTTAATACTTATAGTTATGTCTAAAACAGGTCCATCAATACATGCACATTGTTACAAATTCAAGAGGAAACACATATTATGTCTCCAACTTGTTCTCCTAAAGGGATACATCTTTATATAGGTAGGCTAATTAAAAAAAAAAAAAAAAAAAAAAGGAAGACATGCTGCAAGTTCCAAGGCCAGCCTGGGCTACACAGGAAGTCCCAAGCCAGGTAAGACACAAGGAATGAAAGCTGAGTGTGATGTTACACACTTACAATTCCAACATTCCAGAAGCTGAGCTAGGACTACAAATTCGGCCAGCCTGTGCTACCCTCAAAAAAAACATGGGGTAGAGACATAGCTAATTGGTTAAACACTTCTAGTACGTATAACAGTATGAATTGGGGGGTGGGAGGAATATATGCTTTAAAAATATGTACTCAATGCTGAGATTAAAGGCGTGCACCACCACTGTCTGGTGAGACTCTGTCTTTTTAAAAAACAAAAAAAGTGGTTTGGGAGTTGGAGGGATGGCTTAGAACACTTGATGTTCTTGCAGTAGACCAGAGTTCAGTTCCCAGCACTCACTACCTGTAACTCCAGATCCAGGGGATCTGATGCCCTTTTTGTGCCCTTAGGAAAGTTGTTCTTTCCTAAGACCTTTCAACAATGTCACTACACATATCTAGCTTCTGTCTACTTTGCTGCCAGTTTGGTTTGTGTAGGCTTTGAGAAACAGCCATGTGGAGGACAGGGCTGACCTATGGGAAGAATAGGAAGCATCCGCAGGTGTGAACCTGTGTGGGAACTAGCCCAAGAAGCCACTGAAAAATTCCTTATCAACAGAAATAAACCAAGCAAGAACTTAGCATGACTACTGTTCAGTCTGAAGCATTACAGTAGGCCACTGCAGACATGCAAGGAAAATCAAAGCATACCTATCAAATATGACTTTCAGCAATAGAAAAGCAAGAGAAAGCAATGCTCACCTATCTTCCACTGTCTTACTGGAAGGGTAAAAAACTTTGAATGCAAATCCACTTCTTGGAAAAGAGCCCTTTGGAGACAAAAATGTCCATAAGTGACTATTTGACTTGTAAAAAAGAATCCCTATTTTTAGAATCACATTTCTTAGTCAGGATTTGAGATGACCAGATGGAACTATAAAAATAGAATAGATGTTAGCACAGTTTTTTTAGAGGTTACTATAAAATGTCACAATCTAATAGCCTTTTAAGTTGACCAGTTTTATTCTATCAAATGTCACTGGAAATGCTTTGGCATGGCTCCATTCAGCATGGAAACAAGTAATATTGTAAAATATTAAACATTCATAGAAGACAGACATTGTGTTCAAGGAATCTTCCCTACCTTTCCCCTCAGTGACAGTTGACAGGATTCCAGTGTGCCCCCAGCACCACTAAGCAGGAACTACAAACAACTGTCTAGGATTTTGTTTGTTTGGTTTTGTTTTTTGAGACAGGGTTTCTCTGTGGCTTTGGAGGCTGTCCTGGAACTAGCTCTAGACCAGGCTGGTCTCAAACTCACACAGATCCACCTGCCTCTGCCTCCCAAGTGTTGGGATTAAAGGCGTGCGCCACCAACGCCCGGCTGAAGTTCTGTTACCACAAAGGCCCAAGCTTTTCAGTCTGTCTGAAACCCTGATTCGATGCCTGGCCTACAGCAAGCACTTAGTACTATAAGTACCAAAATAAAGAAAAAAATGGGGCTGGAAAGACGGCTCAGCAGTTAAGCACATATACTGCTCTTTGAGAGGATCCAAGTTCAATTCCCAGCACCCACTTCAGATGGCTCACAACCATTTCCCCACTCAGGAGCATCCGACACCCCTGGTGTCTATGAGCACCTGCACACAAATGCACATAGCCACACAGACACATACATATAATTATCTTTTTTAAAAAAACAACTTTTTAAAAAAGATTTTATTTATTATGTATACAACATTCTGCTTCCATGTATATCTGCACAGCAGAAGAGGGCACCAGGTCTCATAACGGATGGTTGTGAGCCACCATGTGGTTGCTGGGAACTGAACTCAGGACCTCTGGAAGAGCAGTCAGTGCTCTTAACCTCTGAGCCATCTCTCCAGCCCCATAATTATCTTTTTTTAAGAAAGAAAAAAAGTAATGAAGCAATATCAAAACCAAGTTTTGATCCTAACTAAAAGGTATAAATAATATTTTTTAAAAAAAAGAGAAAGAGAGAATGGTGCTAGAGGAGGTTGCTCATACAGTTCAAGATCAGAGTGGGAAAACCCATTGGTAAGGTGTTTTTTAAAATAGCATCAACTAAGAAAATGTCCAAAGATGTAGCAACTAAAGAGAATATCCAATGAGGAAATAGCCTCATTGGATATTTAAATGTAATACACAGAGGAGCTGGAGAGATGGCACAGCTGTTAGGAGCACTGACTCTCATGCAGAGAAACTGGGTTCAATTCCCAGCAACCACAAGGCAGCTCACAATCATCATAACTCCAGTTCTAGGGAATCCAATGCCCTCTTTGGACATTCTCAGTCACCAGGCACACACACAGTACACACGCATACATAGAAGCAAAACATTTATACACATAAATCTAAAACAAGAAAAAGACTGAAAATCAGAAGACTGTGAAAATCAGACCACAAATTTTATGTAATGATGCCAGTGAGTTAACCTTTGAAAATCAGAAGACTGTGAAAATCAGACCACAAATTTTATGTAATGATGCCAGTGAGTTAACCTTGGAGAATGCTGATCCCTAGAGAGTGATTTGCAACCAGGGATTATTGTCCCTCAATAGACATTCAGCAAACATCTAGGGGTACTTATGATTGTCACAAGTGAAAGATGTAACCAGCATCGGGAGATACAAGTATACTGCTGAGCTTCCCACAGTGTACATGAAAGCCTCCTACAACCAAGAATTACTTGGTCCAAGATGCAAAAGTGCCAAGGTTGATGATAAGCCCTGTGTAGAGAAAGCCACACAAATGTACATTTGACAAAAGTAACCAATCCAGGTCATAATGCTTCTAGATGTGACCCAGATGAAACAAAAAATATTAAGATTTAAAATTCATAAGAATCAGTTGCCAGGCAGTGGTGGTACATGCCTTTAATCCTAGTACTGGGGAGGCACAGGCAGGTAGATCTCTGTGAGTTCAAGACCAGCCTAGTCTACAGAGTGAGTTCCAAGACACCCAGGGCTATTACACAG